CGTATGTTTTTGTTACGATTTTATGCTATAACTGTTATAAAACAGAACTGTTGGGTAATAAATACAATAAGAAAAACTTGTAAAATCATACATCACCAAATTCACCTTAAGCAAAATGTCTTGTAGATTTAAAAACAAAATTTTAGCACAACCAAAAATGATTACAATTTGTCACTAAAACGTATTAGGAGGTGAGTAATAAGTTGTGAATATGGCCCATTTTATTCATACTTTGATACCGTTTGTTGATATCTGTTACGGAAACTGATAATTTATTCAATGGACAGTGAGTGTCTGAGGTCCCTAAATGGCCTCGCAAACACCGGGACGTGGGCGACGTAGAGTCATCGTATGCGAATGAGACACAAAATGCACTTGTTTTATGCGCATACGCTATTCGAATGAAAAATTAATATCACCATTGTTTGACGATTATGGTGGCGCTAAATATGAAAATGAATGTTACAACTTAACTGTTCGACAATCGGTTTTACATTGTAAGCATTTTAAATTGCACGTGCGAGTCTTTGTCGGCTGTACTATTTTTGATTCAATTTTCGTATAACCCAGTTGGATCTATTGACTCAATAAGATAGGTTAAAAAGTTACATTGAGTACTGAATTAAAAGCTGTTGTATATTGAAGTGTATTGAAGTTTATTCAAAATATTTGCGTACCTGTGGGGTTAAAAATTGTTTGTTTAGCACGTATAGAAGATAGCCACTTTGTTATGTATGACGATGAAAATGGAACAGAAGGGCAAATACTATCAAAAATACAATATATGCAATACCATAAATAAAACCAATAAACATTTAAGCATTCGCAACACACGAATGTGATTCACGGTTACCCATATAATAAAATGATTCGGAACTGACCGGTTTGTGGGACAGTCGATTGAGTACACACTCGTGGGAACTGTCAAATTTTAATTGATTGTTTACGTGAACTGAATGACTACTGTCGAACTAGTAAGCAGGTCACACATGCATAAAGTCACAAGATAAACAGCTTTGGTTAGCGAGTTAAAGACATCAACTCTTCTAATACTTGACGAAAAAATGGGATGAACGGTGGATTTAACTCTCACTTTTATAAAGATAACAGAGGGTTTCCATTTCCGAAAGTAATACAGAAACAGACCTAGTACATATATTGGAATATCTAACCATCCATTTAGAGGTTGTAAGCCTAAGGGTTATGTCTGATTGGACTAAAGTTTTAAAAAATGGCAATTTATCTAAACGACGTTTACAATAATGAAACAGTAGCTTCGATATCTTATCTAGTATTGTCAGTGTTGATAGTTTATCCTCGACTGTGAGATCGTGGGAGTTAGATAGAATTTAAAAATGATGTCTCCTAAACAGTAGACGATATTGAAAACATGGAACAATGATAATTGTTTTAAAAATCCTATAAGCTATGTATATAAATTTCGTAATCTTATACAGTAGAACCTCGACAACTCAAACCTCGGTAACATAAACACCTCTATAACTTCAAAAAATAATATGTTCCCTTTCCATCAGAGCCCAAAACCTCTATAACATAGACCCTTGATAACTTGAAACCTCTATAACTTAAAATATTTTGTGTTTCCCTTGGACTTTAACTTATCGAGGTTCTACTGTACCTACATATATGTAATTCTGACAAACTCATACGACTTTATCTTCCTTTTTTTAGTTTTTTGGGTCATTAACATATAAAAATACGAAACTTTAATTATGATTTATACATGTAAATTAGATTTCTGTATAATTTTATTCCTGTAGCACAAGTAAAAACTGCTAAAGAACATTATTTTACATTTCTTATACATCATACATCGTACTTATATTTACTTGATAATTATATTTACTCGATTAGAATTTTTTTATTCTTAATTTAAGACTGGATGTCACGTAAATATTTTACCCATTAACATGGAGTAACCTTTAATGATCAACGATGATGTCACTATTTAAGTAAACGTAAACATACCTTTCTGCTTAGAACAAAAATATCAGAAACATTTAAGATCTTTAGGTCATAGAAAGTTAATACCTAGGTACCTAACAACTAGTAATCTTAGGTTGTTCTGCGCAACCAGTCCTTCGACCGCAAACTAGCTTTTGTAGACATTCTAACTATAAACCATGGATCGTATTTCTTTCAATATATCGTAGTCACCGGATATTCATATGTAACTATGCAAGAATCAACCACTTTATCAATTACATCTGTAACACAACTTCCAGCGGACAGCGCTCCGTATGTCCTATATCACCACAATAATGACGTCATTTCGACCTTGTCAGGGTTCCACAGCATATGTTTTGGTTTACAAAACAACCCACATGTCTTTATACGAAGTTATTAAATCAATTTAATTAGTCGAAATCACCTTACAGACTACGTCATCTTTATATTTTGTTAGAGATTTAATGTGATGTATTTGATATTTTTGATGAGTTTCCTGCACTCATTTTCAACGACAGGAAATTGAAAATGAAAACAAATAAAAGTTTCAATTGGCTGACGCATGTTATGTCTGTACAAGGGGCGATTATTTAAAGTACTTTGGAATGACGGCACCAAAATATACCAATATTATTGCTTTCTCAATTAAATAAATGTTATTTAAAAATATAGTACGTGAACATAATTTAAATTTTACTAGAAAGGTATTTTTTTGCATTAAATTAGTGCACATTGAATTTAAAATTCCGAATACTATCTAATTTTGTTTATTTAAATAATAGAAAAACATAAAACATACCTGAAAACGGATAAAAAGCACTGAAATGTTGGACACAGTTCACATTTACTTGTTCACTCTTTGTTCACAATTGGCGTATTGGCGGCCGCGCCGCGCGCTGTGCGAGTGAGGCGGGTGCGCGGGCGCAGCGACCAGCCGAGACAATTTTGCTGATCCTGCTCTATGTAGACAGTATGTGCTCGAAACAACGCAATACTGAGTCTGCCTTCAACATTAAAACATTGATATGTTATTGCAGTAACTAATAGTTGTGGCCTACAAAAAATCTAATTGGAATAGATTCCGTTTGTACCATCATGTCCTACTGTAGATTTTCAAAATAGTTTTCATCTTCCTCTATTTTAATATGTAAGATCATATTAAAAAAATAGTGTAATAACTGAAATTCTATTACAATGATCAAATCGTGTGTTTTATAATAGTTTAAAGGCAAATGAACTCTACTCGACCGCATAGGCCGTAATCCTCGATTATATAATGTTTGGCCCTTCCTTTAGGTCTTTATTTTTATATACTTCAACTTCGAAGAATATAGAGAAATCTAGAAAGCTCAGGTTTACAACTATTTTATATTATTCTATTGTTAGATAAATTTAACCCAATAAGATTTTAAACATTCATGGATTTTTCCAAAAATAACAATAACTTTCAGACACAAAGACATCGACATCTATAGGACAGTACGTACCGAAACAAAATACAAAATATTTCTTGTTCAAAAACCTTAAGTTTTTTGCAGTGGGCGGAGCGGCTTTTGCCGCGGCTGTAGGCGTAACTCACAACTTTTGCGTCACAAGGCTATTTCGCATGACTAAGCTTCGATTCGGACGTATTATGTCAAAAGAATTCTTTTATAGCTTATTTTGTGGCATATTATTGTGTTGTGGTTTAAAGATTCCTTTGGGTTACATTATTTACAGTTCTGAATCATCAATCATAGTTAATATAGTCGCATATTCACACACAAAAATCAGCGCAAGTCACTTAGTCCTATCAAATCGTTTCAATTTATATTGTACACCAAAATACTTTATTACTTCTAACTAGCAATTTAAATATAATTATTTTTGAAATCGAGATAAAACTAACGATATAGGAGGCTGATAAGGAATGTAAAAATAGCGTTTGGTTGGTATCAATTAGTATGCATTAACTTTTAGGATAGTACGTGCATACAAGTACCTCGACCTCATCTTCTATTGGAGAGTATCACAGTTTTAAGTATAACCTCCTTAGTTCATATCTTTTACTGTTACAATATGCAAAAGCCATCATGCATCGTAATCTTTCTGTAAATTTCTGTTGGTACCTCAGGTCTCATTAAATTAAGTTTCAGCTGACATTATCATACTAATCATACTAATATTACAAATACGAAATTTAAGAAGGATGGATGGATGTTTGTTAGAGTTTGTAGCCTAAACGGCTGAACGGATATAGATGAAATTTGGCGTAGATGTAGAGGATAGTCTGGAAGAACACATAGGCTACTTGCATTTGTTTTTTTTTTTAATTCCGCGCGGACGGAGTCGCGGGCGGAAGCAAGTCTACATATAATTTACTTTTGCTGATTTATCAAATGGAAGCTCCTGAGTTCATCCTATTTACTTTTTGGCGAAGAGCGGGATCAGTTAGTCAATTTCTTGTAAGCTTGTGATGAAATAGGAAAGGCGGTAACCGGATACGATAAGAAAAACCTTTGTAAAAAAGTATTTTAATACAAATTAGGTATATACAATTTTTTTAGACAATTTCTCCATTCATTGTGACATTACTTTCTTCTTACTTTCACAATAAAAACTCTCATCTTATTTTTGTCATCATGACACTAACATTTCAGTGCAGCAATACTTTAATAATGACTAAGACCAAAATTATAAAAATGATTTTTCCTAAAATTACTGCTCCTAGTGAACATTTACTATTATGATCATCGCCAGAGGGACAACTGTCCCACCTAGAATTGGTAAAAATAAAATAGATATAATCTACTTCTAAATAAGTACAATCGCTACAGATTGAAATAGATAATTAAAGGGAATGCTTATTTAAAATAACTGGTCAGTTAAAAATGGCAGCTTGTGTATTATGTTAAAGAACTACGTAAGTTCTTCAACTTGTAAAGGATCAGATCATCCATCATTATGCAGTCCAACCTCGTACGTATTTTTAGGATTGTGAATAACTCATACAAAAGTTATATTTACGGGGATAGGGGAATAAAAATCACATATTTCGTGACAAATATTTCTATTTAAATAACAGACTTTTTAAATACAATCTTACGTTTTGCAACATTCACTTGGTTCGGCAGCGCTGAGTAACAACAAACATTGACTAACACTGGAATACTTACGCTACCTCTAACACGACTACTATCATATGAAAACGATACTGAACTCGAATATTTAACACATTAAATGCCACTAAACATAGATATATAACCTATAAACTTTCCGCGTTATTTGAGAATAGTTGGGAAATCTACCCCAAATAACGGACCTTCTTTCATTTTGCTTTGGTGTTCTGGATTAGATATCTATAGGTTACAAATCTATGGATAAGATTAACCAGGTTAACTGCGGCATTAAATGTGTTAATATTTCAACCTCATATCTTTAATACTTTCGTTTAAATTATCTTTAGAAGTATCGAGTTCACATCGTTTTCAAATCTTTCAAACAGAAACAATTTAAATTCTCATAATTTGGGACACTGACACAATATTGAATATCAAAGCATGCATACAAATACAAGGAACTATAAAATTTATTGCGACAACGGACATAACTAAAATTGCTATTTAAAATCATAACTAATCTACATAGCCCTGTGTTTAGAGTAAAGACATATGTGTCTTAATTTTTCATACATTTGGAGTAATACAAATAATATCACTGCTTTCTATGACGCATCAGAAAAAACTTACTTTAAACAAATGGTAACTGAACATCAAAGACAAAATAAACTCACTTGTTTTTAAACCGAAAAAAGTGATTAATATTCCTACATCGAAAAATGCTTGTAACAATTTATTTAAACATTAATAAAAATATTTAGACTAGTTGAAATAAAAATTTATTTGGAAACCATCCATGAACGCAGGACAAGTAATCACAATCAGGAATACGGTAATAAGGTACAAATATTTATTTCCTTTAGAACATATAAGAAAATCCTGAAATATTAAAAAAAAAACTCTAATTCTACGTACATCACAAATATTTAAAATTTTCCTATTGTATGAAATACTCGGATTTTAATCAAGATCTGGTACAAAAGTTGGATATAAAGTTGTCATGGAATAATGTTGCAGAATTACTTTGAAGGAAAAACAAAAATATACATTTCCATAATAAACAGATAAACAAATTGAGAAAGAATTACTAGTGAAGTAAGGTAATACCAGTTCTACAAAAATCTAAAATTTCTTCAATACATAATTTCTAATTAAATTACTCTAGTTCAAATTTCAAATAATTTATAACGCAGAGTGATTAAAACAACAACACTTATCTGTAACGCAGTATAAGTAGAAATGCCTAGCACGTTTCCCGCGGAAGTGCGCGCAAATTAATTACAAAGACTAGTCTTCATCCGAATATCACCACATGTGAGTCTCTCGTATCTCGCTAATAATCTGACCGGCGCGCTGCAGAGCCTGCAAAAACAATAAACATACATTTTTGATTATAAATAATATCAAAAACAATATCAATGAAACATATAATAAAAAAAGCACAAAACAGTGATAAAGAGACTGATATTTTAATCTTACTAATATTATAAATGCGAAAGTTTTGATGGATGGATGTTTATTAGAGTTTGTAGCCTAAACTGTTCAACGGATCTTGATGAAATTTGTCATAGATGTAGAGAAGAAGCCTGGAAGAAAGCATAAGCCATTTTTTTTTAATTCCATGCGGATGGAAGCTAGTTTACACATAAACATTATTCTATGTAACGCACAATTCTCATTCAACCAAGTTTGGTATACTAGCGGTGACAACTGTAGAGTTAGGGTTAACGCGCATTTGTCCACTTCTCGCCCACGGATTACAACGACCGACGATTGGGATAAAGATATAAGCGATACGTTCATTCATGCAAACGACAATGACATATCGTTTCGCTTTCAAATTTATATCTATCTCGCTCAATCAGCGACACCAAAACAATCTTTATTACGCTCAATCGTTGTAGCTGAAGCAGTGGTACAGCCAATGCTATGGGGCGACAGATGGAAGCGTGAAGCAATGCGCGATAACCTTTATTCATCATCATTACCAGCTCACTATACGTTCTCACCGAGGGGTTCGCAGCCTACATCAAGTTATGGGTGACTGGGCCTTAGTCAACCTTTATTGGACGGTTTATCATTATCCCAGTGGAAATGTTTTAAACATACCTTGAGCATATCGGCGGCCTCCTTCCTGCGCTGCGCGATGTGCTCGGACTCATTGAGGAGGCTCTCCGCCTGGTCCGACTTGTAGAGGTGCGTCACCAGCTCCGACTGCAGATTGTCCTTCACGTAATTCACTAGGAAGTGCATCACCGCCTTCGGTACTGAATCTTGTATCGATTTACGTACTATATAGAAGTACGATTTTATTAATTTCTCTGAAAAAGAAATTAAAAAAAAAATCAATTATTAAAATATTTAAGTAAATATATGTAAATAATACAGCTATGATTGTGCAAATTATAAGATTTAAACATGGTTGTATTGACTGTTTTACAAATAACTGATTGTAGCATTGGCACATGAATATTTATTGGCAATTTGACATAACAAATATTTTACGTTTACTTTAAACTGGTAAATAATTTTCAGACAAAAAAGTCATAAAAAAGCATGCTACTGATGAAAAAGAATGCATTTGTTCCATTGTAAGATGCAAACAAAAGTGACCAGACATATTTATTCAACTAACTTCAGCGACCTTGTAAAGTACTCATACCGATTAAGTCAAACTCATTCGTTTTACTTCAGACGGTTATCTAATACGGATTTTTCAAATTTGAAATTGTGAGATAAGACTTTCTAACATCATAAAAATACATAGATAAAGTGCAATAATATAAATATTAGACCAATATAATGTTATATACAACGAATATCATGCAAATGTTAGAAGCTTAAAGCATAGATTGTCGATCATTGTACCCAAAGCGACGTCCGCGCAAAAAAGATGAATAATCGTAATGAAGAGAACGAGACTGCTTGTTAGTAAAGATCTTTGAATCACTCAGCTGAGAAGTGCAGACGCCGCCGTTAGGTGTAACGCGGCCCCGCAGACTACAGACTTTAAATCGGCCAAAAGTTAAATCGGACGATTGATAATATAATCATGCATGGAGGATCGTAAGTTAGACCTATGGTTTTATATACTAGCTTTCGCCTCATAAAATATCTTGAAATCCACCCAATCGTTTTTGAGTTATTTCAATACATATAAAAATACAAATCTTTTCTCTTTATAATATTAGTACAGACTAGCTGTCGCCCGCAACTCCATCCGCGTGGAATTAAAAAAAACAAAAGCCAATTTCCAGACTATCATCCGTTCCTTAGAGTAGATTTAGCCGATAAGGCTACAAACTCTACCAGTCATTTATCTAAAGTTTCGCAATAATAATAGTATTATTGTTGGCTTGATATCCCGATTTGATTAACCTATCGGCCGATTGAAAGTCTGTAGTGTTAGGTGAACAGCAAGATGGTAAGTTGGTGAGGTGGTCGGAACTATTGGTGAGGTAGCGTGTGGTGAGGAGGTGAGGAGGCGAGGCGAGCGTGTCTCACCGACGAGGTCACCCATACTGTTCAATTGCATCATCACAATGCCCTCTAATGTTTCATTACTCTTTTGCCTTGGTGAGGTCTCGCTCCGTCCACCTACCATCATAAATTAAAAACAATACTTTATTAGGCTTCGTTCATCGATAAGTATTGGAATTTATGTTATTGTGGCGTGTTAAAAGAAAACTCTACTTCAAAAAAATGTGTTACTAAATAAATATATTTGAATATCAAAACATATATTTTCTTACAAAAATAACAAATAACTTTTAAGACAGACACAAAACCAAATATCACTGTTATAATAAAAATGAATGACGTGTCCAATGATATTAGCGTTTAGAGTATCTATTAAAAGGCAGGATATGATAAATATTAATATGTTAAAAATATTAAGTGAGCAGGGTTCATTAAATTAAAAAAAAAAAAAACTTATACAACTAAAACGCAACTAATTTATAACTGCTGAAAATCATACTCAAAACAAAATTAACTGCTTAATGTCTAACAAGTTTATATAATAAATATCTAATTTGAAACCTGTGCTACAGAATGTCAAAAATTGCCAGTGATTTTCAAATTAAAAACCTTATAAAAGTATACTTGAACCCTTATAAGAGAAATTATCAAAAATAAACTTACCAATAACATCACAGTCATGTTGTTCTCTATCGGAGAGTTTCCTCGATGTATGACTCGGCACTTCAGGGAGCAAATTCACTGGCTTCTGTGGAGTCAACACTTTGTTCTCGGGAGATCCATTGAACTAAAAAATAAAACATAAGTACCGTTATATTAATATTATAAATGAGGAAGTTTAGATGGATGTTTGTTTAAAGTTATTACCAGAACAGCTCAATAAATGTTTATGAAAAACACATTGGCTACTATGACGTTTTTTTTTTAATTTCGAGCAGACAGAGTCAAGAGTAACAGCTATTTATCAATAAAAATTAGCAAAGACAAAAAAGCTAACAAAACACAATAACAAAATTGACTGGTGAATAAACAATGACAAAAACCACAAACAAATGATTCTAGAGTTTTTAAATGCTTGTTACATTTTATTGTCGAAACGTTAACAATCACGGTGTCTCTTTCTTTCTCTATGAAACAAAAAAGATTAGAATGTCTTTTTATGTATCGGTATGTGTAGTTTGAAAGATCTTTTTGTGTTTGTTGTTTTAATATGTGTGTTGACTGGATTTTGATGTTTGTTGAATTTTGCGGTCAACATTCATAGTTAAATGTCGACCGTGAAACGTTCTTTGCGCACTCATTTTGTGAAGCTATGTGGTTTTTTTTTTGCTGTATCCCCTATTTTTATTACTTCTTGTTGAAAATAATAATTACCTGTGCCCCTGTGGGTGAATCGCTGTTAGCAGTTTGTGGCGGTGATCTGTTTTCTTGACCGTCAGTGATGGCCGGCACATGCTGCAAGCGATATGTATTTTATGATTTAACTCTTGCTTTAACTGTTATTCACGTTATAACGAGAACAATAACTAACTACGATATTTTTAACATTGATTTGACTAAAAATTACTAAAACAACTGAAATAATAAGTAAAACTGAACTATTTAATAAATAAGGGATAGCAAAACAAAACACCAACGTTCAAAAAAAAATTAAAAATGACATGCTTCGAAAAAATAAACCCATTTAAAAGGTTATTTTAGTAAGACATCATTACGATACGAATATAATTTTCAAAGAATAAATAAAAATTGCTTTTAGCATATGGATACAGTATAAACATGCAATATGAAAATAAAATAGAAATGTATGAAAGAGCGCCCACATTGGCCTATTGGATAGAGCCAGTCACTATGAATTTATACAGTGTATGATTTCCACACACATTTCAAGTAATTTCATTCAATGTTTCTATGAATGATTTATGTACACAAAAATGCACAAAAAATACTAATTAAATAAAAGATTGATATAGAGTTTGTATTATTTTTTTTAATCGTGAAAATGTAAATACGAGAATGGTCTGTTTGAAGTTGAATCAATCAAGAATGTCATTATAGTGAACAATGTAGATTATGGTGTAATAATGAATGTAAACACAATAATATAATTTACCTGATTGTATGCATACCATACATTTATCAAATATACCAACACGGACCCTCTTTCACCCATTTGTTGTAGAAATAGCTACAAAATAATACATTTATGTAATATTTAACCTAAGCTTTATTCAAAATAATTCACAAACTAACATTTTTAAATGTAACGATAATTATGATGTGATAAATGTTCCATTTTGTTCTACTTCTAAGTGTTACAAATGTTTAAATTAAGTAAATATGCATATGGATGTATTATTGTGTTAATATAAAAGTAAAAAAGACAAGATACAATGTATATCAATGTTCATCTATACTAATATTTTGTATGTATTGAAATAACTCGAAACTATTGAGCCGAATTCAAAAATTCTTTCACCATTAAGAAGCTATGTTACCAATGAATAACATAGGCTATATTATTTATATTTTTTAAATACACGCGGACGAAGTCACGAGCAACAGCTAGCATATATTTTTACATAAATAATGGTATACTCACCTGAATATTAGTGTGTTAGACCAGATTATCCAGAAGCAATGACAAATAATAAAGCAAAATATATACTTTGAAGAGGGAGGGTACCGTGGAGGCGGGGCGCGGCGTCTTGTGGCGGTAGACGGGGCTGTGCTCCTCCACGAGCCCGTCCGTGCTCTTCAGCAGGCCGGAGACCAGCGCCGCCTCGCGGTGGAAGTCGGGGTGCTTGGTGTTGATGTACGCCAGCTCGATCGCCACCAAGTTTTCAACCTGTCAACAATTCAAATCAATTACTGACATAGACAGATATAACAGCTAGCATAGCTATACCAGTACTAATGTACAGACAGTACAGTAAGACTGCTCTGCAC